CACTGGCATCCGAGGTCGCTCACAAAAAATGTATTAAACCCTGAACAAATCAAATACTAGTGATGGTTGTGATGATATCCTAAACGAGGTAGAGATCAAGGATGAGGTTTTTGACCACTCAAACGTGTCATTTGCCAATGCAAATGAAGCGAAGGCTTTCTAGCCTTGTTTTGTGGAGCTACTAAAGTTGACATCAGTGCTGCCTTGAGCAGCAATGACCGAGTCCAGCGGATGCACACAATCGTCGACGAAATCGAGGGTCTTATCTCGAAAAACATACCCCAAGTGACCAAGAAAGATAATTCCCAGATGACTGCTGAATGCTGAAGAATATTGAGGAACAAGTACAATTCTATAACGGGTCTGTTGCATGCAGTAATGCGCCCACCGTTAAAAATGGATATAGACAGACGCGTGTGCATCAGTAGCCTTGATGGAATCTACTAGGCTGCTGTTAGAGGAAGAAGCAATAATGGATTTGCCCAACATGCTAGAATTTTCGCGCAAGTGCATTGTTTTCAAGTATTCGACTTCAAATAATGTGAAGGATAAAAATTCCACGTAATCTCAAATCAAGTAAAAACGCCTGTAAATTGAAAATTTAAAAAATCACAAAAAAATTTTGTGAAAAAATGGCGCCAAGTCGACGTGAATCTGATCGCCTCCAAGACAGAAACAAGGGACGATTACTGAATAGTTGAAATCACACAGTAAGCGAACTGATTATGATATAATCTTATTTAAAAAAAAACATGGAAATATTAAAAAATGCCAAGTTTATGCTGACACCGTCAACTAGGACAATTTTCCGCAGTTTTAGTTCCGATTGGAAAATCGATTATTGTCAATAAAGGCTTTTGTCATTCCGGCTGTAAGACAGTGTTTTACGGCTGCGTTGCTTTGCTTCGCGTCCACGAAACGCTGGCTACGGCTGTTATGACAAAAAATTGTGGGCGTCATACGGCCAAAAAAAATTTGTCGACCAATATGATTGTTGGAAACCTCATCTTCGCTAGAAAAGATTTTTTCGGCCTAATGACAAAATATACTGTTTCAAACCCCGTCCATAGGAAATTGATTCGGAAAAAAGTCAACTTGGCGCGCCGGGCTGTTCGATAATGAACATACTTCGTAGGAAGTGAATGATTGACAAAGCTAGAGTTCGCACGCTAATTGGCAAAACGCCAAAACTATTGAGATTTAATTCAGCTTATTATATCAACAATTGGATTCCGTATACCTGACGTGTACTTAACCTAATCACCAATGAACGTCAAATAGCATATCGGTATGAGGAGAGTGGGTGCCCGTCAGTGTGATGGCGCGTTCATAACCGACGCAGGGTGGCACACTCACATTCTTAGCCAACGGCAAAGAATGGGGGACGAAGATCATCAGTGAATAGTTTAAAATGAGATGTAGTGCTTATACATGATAAGATGTCCGTAACGACTGAAGTAATTACGCAATTATCAATCGATGCATTCAATCAATAATCCACTTACGAATTTATGACTTGCTAGGGAAATGCTAAAATATACTTGTAATTTTTTACTATGTTCCCGGCAATGTAATGATACTCAGTGTATTGAAGGGGAAAAATTAGGCGCGCCAAGTTGACTTTTTTCCGAATCAATTTCCTATGGACGGGGTTTGAAACAGTATATTTTGTCATTAGGCCGAAAAAAACTTTTCTAGCGAAGATGAGGTTTGCAACAATCATATTGGTCGACAAATTTTTTTTGGCCGTATGACGCCCACAATTTTTTGTCATAACAGCCGTAGTCAGCGTTTCGTGGACGCGAAGCAAAGCAACGCAGCCGTAAAACACTGTCTTACGGCCGGAATGACAAAAGCCTTTAGTAACAATAATCGATTTTCCAATCGGAACTAAAACTGCGAAAAATTGTCCTAGTTGACGCTGTCAGCATAAACTTGGCATTTTTTAATATTTCCATGTTTTTTTAAAAATAAGATTATATCATAATCAGTTCGCTTACTGTGGGATTTCAACTATTCAGTAATTGTCCCTTGTTTCTGTCTTGGAGGCGATCAGATTCACGTCGACTTGGCGCCATTTTTTCACAAAATTTTTTTGTGATTTTTTAAATTTAATATTTATATGATTTTTTTAAAAATTGTGTGATTTCATTCATGCAGTTATTGTCCCATGCTTCTATCTTGCGTTTGAATTAGCGTCGACTTGGCGCCATTTGTTCACAACATTTTTTTATGATTTTTTTTTATGTGAATAATTACCAAACAAATGATGCAATGAAAAGTATTGATACCTGATTTAAGCCTCTCTGACATGTGTTAGTTCATCATAGTAATTTCCCTCAACGAAAGATAATTTAAATATTCATGTTTTAGTTTTTATTCAGTCATTCAAGTTGATTATTGAAAAATATCACATAAAAAATTTAAATTTGGAGGTAATATTTTCATTCAAATATTAACACTCGATTCCAATTGTTAAAGGGTAATCCACAAATATTAGGTTATTTAGGTAATTAATTAAAGATTAAAATGCTCGAAGATTGAAGCACTGAAAATTTTTAATGTAAAGGATTAAATTTAGGTGCAATATTGAAATTAAATATTAACAATTGATTCTAATTGTTAAAGGATCATTTACAAACATTAAATTGTCTGTTTAATTATTTTATGATTAAAATGTTCGAAATGAAACTATTGAAAAATTAACTGAACTAAAATTTTTAATTTGGTTGTTATATTCAAATCATTAAATTATTAACAATTGATTCCAATTGTTAAAGAGTAGTTCACAAATATTAGGTTATTTAGGTAATTGATTTCAACTGAACTAAAATTTTTAATTTGGTTGTTACATTCAAATCATTAAATTATTAACAATCGATTCCAATTGTTAAAGAGTAATTCACAAATATTAGGTTATTTCGGTAATTGATTTCAACTGAACTAAAATTTTTAATTTGGTTGTTACATTCAAATCATCAAATTATTAACAATCGATTCCAATTGTTAAAGAGTAATTCACAAATATTAGGTTATTCAGCTAATTAATTTTAACTGAACTAAAATTTTCAATTTGGTTATAATATTCAAATCATTAAATTATTAAAAATCGATTCCAATTGTTAAAGAGTAATTCACAAATATTAGGTTATTTAGGTAATTAATTTTAACTGAACTAAAATTTGTAATTTCGTTGTTATATTCAAATCATTAAATTATTAACAATCGATTCCAATTGTTAAAGGGTAATTCACAAATATTAGGTTATTTAGGTAATTAATTTTAAGTGAACTAAAATTTTTAATTTGGTTCTTATATTCAAATCATTAAATTATTAACAATCGATTCCAATTGTTAAAGGGTAAATCACAAATATCAAATGACTTGACGCTCTTCGATTGGCTTACAAGCACGGGCTCCATCCTAGTTCATGCGCCACCGCTATGGACTCGTACGGATGAATTCCGTAAGCGTAGACAATTTCCCCTACACTTACTAGATTTATTCTCTAGAACAGCCCACCCAAACAGCGCTAGGGAATAGTAACTCTCTCGAAATAAAACTCTTGAAAAAGTGAATTCTTATGCGTTGATATGGAGTTATTTTTGTAATAATGTAATAAGTGAAAAAAGTAAAAACCTCATCAGAATGATCAACCGCGATTTATATAATGTATCTAAGAATGCTTTTGCAAAATAGCGTGCCTGTGAAGGGGAAAAAAGCAATTGAATTTTTTTTAAGGGGTTAGGGGCGAGTTGTTAGCTGAAATATAATACATGACAGCTCTCTGCCTGTGACGTCAACTTGGCAGATACGCTATCGCGTATCTTGATTAAGCCCTATATGTGGTCTGCGGCGTACAGAATTTATACTAAATCTATACTATAATTTTTCCAACATATCCATATAGTGAGTTACTGTGGACGTTCTCCAGAAGGTGTTCGGTGGTGACTTCGATTTTTCCAGTTAAACTTATCTGAAAAAAAACAATCTGACTGTTTCATTTAGTATATGAATAAAACCAGGTATTGATCGAAGGAATAATTCATTTTTTTTTACAAAATGGCGACCGTGTAAACACAAACATTGAGTTTTCGACCAAAATTTTCACGTAAAATTGTTTAGAACAATTCAAATAATTGTCTAAAAATTGAATCCTTGCCCCAATAGCTGAGGAATATATCAAAGAAGATTGTGCTAAAATTTCAAACCGATGGGTTCTGCCATGTTTTAAGTAACTGTATTCACCGACTTTGAAAACATGGTTTCGAGAAAAACGAGTTCAAAGTTTTGAAACTTTTCAACTTACATTTATTCGAGGGGAATAACATGGACCCTCTGTAGTATCGACAGTTTCTAGTATTTCAAATTGATTTTGTCTGCGAGCCATTTTTCCCTCTCACGAACTCCTAAGGACTTCCGAGTCAGCGGTCGCGATGCGCTCTGTATCTTTCTGGACATATGCACGGGCATTGCGCGCAGCTGATAATCCTAGTTATTTTACGTATTAACTGGTTGTGGCTTTCATTGTTGTTTTGCGGAAAACCACCACATATTTTTTTGTATTTTTTTAATCGTTGAGGTATAGATGGAAAAAGTCGCAAAAATCGCCTTTTTTTCTCAACGCACTGTCGAATAGCCCGACACGTCTCTACAAATATGCTTACATTTCGAGAAATACTTGCAGGATCAATTCAAAGTTTTGAGGGAGTCTAATCAGATATATATACATTTCGGAGTAGCAAAAAATTGAATTTTTTGGAAATCGCCGACAATTGAATGCATTTTATTCCTCTATTCTGCGAACTCCCAGTTATATCACCTTTTTTTTAAATCATTATATTGTATTGTAATTATTTCATCAATTGTTGAAACATTTTCATGCAATAGTTAATTATTCTGAATTACGTGCTCACTTCTCCAAATTACCATACGAATATTCTATTTCTATTTTAGCTATCCAATGCAATGCTTTCCAATACATTGCTTGAATGTTTCAGGTGAGGCTGGTACAAAAGAAAGATACAGGCCATGTATACGCAATGAAAATATTACGAAAGGCGGATATGCTTGAAAAGGAACAAGTGGCTCATGTGAGAGCAGAGAGAGACATACTAGTGGAGGCAGATCACCAGTGGGTTGTGAAAATGTACTACAGCTTCCAAGATCCCATAAATCTCTATCTCATCATGGAATTTTTGCCTGGGGGTAAGATAAATGCTAGAAGAAATGGAATCGAAATCTTTAGGAACAGAATATTCAATCGCTTTGATTTTAATGATGGTGTCTGGTGGACGTGAACTTTAAAAAAATGTACGATTGTCGAATTGCCTGGTAATGTCAAGCAATTTTACAAATTTCTTGAAATTTTTTATTAGTAGTGTTGCAATTACCGATGAATGTGACTGTGGATGACTAAGATTCGATTCCCAGTCAGAGGGATGCCAAAATGTTTTTCTATCTCTCTAATTTACACGGTTTCATCGTCTGAGCAGTAGTCTCGAAAGGGACGACTGTTCCGGGCCAGGGTTTTTCCCATGAGCATTTCCCTTCGACCCTCGGCACAATTGCGGTATAGATGGATTTGAGGAAGGGAATAAAATGTACAAACTCGAAAGGGTATACATGTGGAATAAAATTTTAAAACAACTTAGCAGTGTCGCAATTTTCAGGAATGGCCGAATGACTTCCCATAAATTTGTTACACAAGAAATAAAATGTCAAATGTTCCAAATTCTGAATGCGAAGTATGCATCAAAAGGAGCTATTCCGGAAGAAATCGGGGAACGCTCTTGGAAAAGAAACTTTTAAAAAATAATTGATCACATTAATCCGATCAGCAGTATTTTTCCGGCCCTTTAGAATGGAGTGTTATTTAATTGGAGTCTGTGAAATTGTCATTCCAGCAAAAGTCGAAAACTGGCCAACTATACGTTCGAAATAAATGTTATCACAACAGCCCGGATATATTTTTTCCACACTGATTATTAAGTTTTCGCGTTTGGGATGTATGCAGTACCAATTCCCAAACGAAAGACTATGCAGAGCAGCACGGAAAAGGTATTTGTTGGATTATTTTTGAGTGTGACTTGTCTGTAGCTATCATTGTTTTTTTTTGCAGCAAAGAAACGAAACGAGATTGCCCCATTGACATTTATAATTAACGATGTTTCAATTACATAGAATTATCACTGAAACCTCTTTTCTGAGTTTTTTCTGTGGCCATATCCTATATTTCGAGTTTGGGAAGAACTGCTCTTCCTGACCCATTTTATTAGTTCAGAATAGTCAATTAAGGCCCGGGTGGAGGGATTTTCGCCCGACATGTCCCTAGGAAATTCCCTAGAAAAAACGCGTTTTACGGGTAACTAATTGCCAGCCCCTGTAGGCCCTCAAAAAATATAATGGTAGGGTCAATCGACAGATAATTATTTTTGCCGGGCCGGTAATTAGGTCTCAGGGGTGGGAAATTGAGGAATGAACGTGTAAATTACGTTCAAAGAGACCTCCTAGATTTTACCAAGATGAATTCTCCAATGATCGTTTGGGGAAAAATATGGCGGCTCAATCACTGCGGAATAAAAACACTCCCCACAATTTACACATCCACTTCTCACTCGCGACACCCAATTACCGGCCCGTGAACACAATTATTACATTTTTCGCGATTTTTCCCGGAAAGATTCGATGCACTGAACGCCCGGAATTTAGGTTCGCGAGTACGAAGCGATCAGCTGTCAATTTTAGGGAAACGAAGTTTAGACAGATGGCGATAGTGTGGCCTCTCAATCTCGGAGAGGCAAAAATGAGCTCCGTCTAGTTGACCCCCCACATGCTGCTATTAATTATAATTTTTTTTTAATGATTGTTACTGATTAGTAGATTATTGTTTGATGATCGATTCCGTTTGTTTGACGTTCTATATATTTTTTTTCAATTTTTCCAAATTGACCAAAAAATTGAAAAAAGTTGACCCCCCCCACCCTCGGATTTTATAATTTTTTTTTTTAATTACAGATTATTGTTTGCAGATGATTGTTAGATCATCGACATTTCCACTCGTCCTTAATTTACAGCCGAATAACTGAATTGCTATTGGCAATCATACAGACCCCCGATTTTTCAAAATGTCGTCTAAACAGCTGCTGGGTCGTTCAATTTGAAGTAAAGTGCAATGACGTTGGTCTCTTGAAGCAATTTCCAAAGGGCTATCGTGGTCTTTGAAAGTGTTGTCGGACGATTAAAAATTATTTAAAGCTTTCGCACAATCAAATTACGTTCCTCCATTGGTGACTAAACTTCTGAGGCATCATGGGCAGTGGAATCATGTCAGGCTTCAAACTTTCTGAATGTACTCCTTGGACTCATTCAATGCATGATAGGAGTAAGACACAGGCGATGTCATACCCCTACACTTATCATCAACCATATAAGTTACAGTCCATTTCTGCAAGCATGATAGTTGCACGTGTTCGATAATACGTTTCATTTCTAGGATTGAATTGGTGATACAACTCTATGACGATCACCGATTTCTTTGGCAATTTATGGACCCACTGGGTGGTCAGAAATGTCAGACTAATAGATAGAAGGCAATATTTAGGGGAAACGTCGAAATTCGAATATTATCATCATCAGTCATGATACGTAAACGGAAGCATCAAGGTCACTGGAGATGAAAGGTAATTGTTGAGGCATCAGCCTCATATTGGCATAGGGCCATGGGGTAGCAGCACGTCCTGGACCGTCTCTGACTGACCGGTCGTTCGGCAGATATAGGTGCCCCAATTACGCACCTGTGTCGCTGACCTACCTCTCTAATAATTATTATTACTTCTTCTCGGTTCGGATGTTCTCTGTTTAACGTCGTTCTCTAACGCCCTATAATTACGCCGTTAATTATCGTGTGAATCTCTCTCAAATATAATTCTCTACCGTGACGTCTCTACCCTTCCTACCTCATCCAAAATCCCCACCAACGACTCCTTTGACGTCACAAAGATGTGGAACGCTATATAAATTTCCCTTCTAAGATGTAAAAATGTATGCCGTATGAAGGACGGCGGTGCTCCATATAGGCAAGAAAAGTGAATGGAAGAAATGGCTAGGAGCCGGATAGCTCAGTTGGGAGAGCACCCGATGCATAATCGGAAGGTCCCGGGTTCAAGTCCCGGTCTGGACTATCCATTTTTTCAGTAATTTTTCTCGCAAAAATTATATGGAGAATTATCCTGAGGTAGGTAGACGTGCTTCTCTGGTCTCGACAGAGCAAGTACATTTTCATGACGGACATCACGAAGATGTTCCGTCAGATTAAGGTACATCGGGGAGACTGGCCTCTTCAACAAATTTTGTGGCGCGATTCTCGGGGCCAGATCTGCACCTATCAGCTCACCACTGTCACCTACGGGACCAAGTCTGCTCCATTTCTCGCCTGTAGTGTTCTCAATCAGCTGGTCATGGATGAGGGACATCGATTCCATCTAGCCGTCTCACCGTTTACCAGTGGTAGATATGTTGACGATATCTGTGGTGGAGCTGACGAGGAAGATGATCTCCACTTCGTAGCTCAGCAAGTGGTGGAACTCTGCTGGGCTGGCGGGTTTCCTCTAGCGAAGTGGCACTCAAATAGCCCGTCTCTACTTCGTTCTCTGACGCCGGGAGGGTTCTCTCAGAGTCTGAAGCCGCTAGAGGACTCCGTCACCAAGATTCTTGGTCTGAAATGGGATCCCAACACAGATCAATTGAAGTTCTCTATCCATCTCTCAGCCGACACAAAGTCTACGAAGAGGATTATATTGTCTGAAATTGCTCAACTCTTCGATCCTCTAGGGTTGCTATCACCGGTAGTGATCCGTGCGAAGGCTCTTCTCCAGCAACTCTGGTTGGAAAAAATGGATTGGGATGATGAGTTGCCACTACATCTGACCCAGAAGTGGTCTCACTTCCGTCAAGAACTGTCTCAAGTGGAACAACTCTCGATCCCTCGTTGGCTGGGGTGTAGGAAGGGATCTCAGGTGGAAATCCATGGCTTCTCTGATGCGTCTCTACTAGCGATGTCTGCGGTGGTTTATTTGAAGTTACTGGGAGCATGATGCGGAAACTCGAGAGGAAGAAGGACGTCATTGTTCCGGCACTGTTTAGCCCGGAAAGTATCGAAGCAGCTCGGCTTTATTGGGTCAAGGCGACTCAAGCCTATTATCTCCAAGCCGAGTGTGACATTATCTCTCACGGATTCCAGTTGAAGAAGTCTCATCCGTTGACCAAACTCACTGCGTTCATTGATCAACAAGGATTTCTCAGAGTGGACGGAAGTCTGGAGTTCTCAACTCTAGGAGCAGAGAGTAGACATCAGGCCATAATCCCTTAAGGATCAGTGCTCGCAGAGCTTCTCATCAGGGACTCTCATCAGCGTACGCTGCATGGCGGAACTCAGCTCACGTTGACGCATCTCAGGAGGTCTTACTGGATTATTGGTGGTCGTCTACCAGTAAGATCCTTCATCCTCAAGTGTGTTGAATGCGCGCGTCATCGTGGGATTAGAGCGCAGCAGCTGATGGGGCGGCTTCCGATGGCACGTCTTGTATCGGATCGAGCTTTTTCTAACACTGGTGTGGATTATGCCGGACCAGTGTCTCTCAAGACGTGGAAAGGGCGTGGTCACAAGACCCAGAAGGGTTGGTTAGTGATCTTCGTGTGCATGGCCACGTCCGCTCTCCATCTGGAAGCTGTCACCGACTACTCTACTGACAGCTTTATCGCAGCTTATAGAAGGTTCGTGAGTCGTCGAGGATACTGCAGACATCTCTACAGCGATTGTGGCACGAATTTTATCGGTGCTGACAAGGAGTTGAAGAAGTTGTTCTCTGCTGGCACCAAGGAGTTACCGCATCTCTCTGCAGTATGTCTCAAGGATGGAACGAGGTGGACGTTCAATCCTCCTGGAGCCCCTCACTTTGGAGGGAAATGGGAAGCAGCGGTCAAGTCGAGGAACTCTCAACGCGGCTGACCCAGATTGAAGCAGTTCTCAACTCCAGGCCTCTACAAGCGCTCTCGGAAGACCCTGATGACGTGTCCTGTCTCACCCCAGGACACTTTCTCATTGGAGAAGCTCCCATAACTCTTCCGGAGCCAGGTTTAGAACATCTCAATGTTGGACGGCTCTCAAGATGGCAACTCATTCAGCAGAGGCTGCAGTTCTTCTGGAA